GACTTTCAACCAACAAATAGCAATTTATCACATACTGCTGAGATAATTTTCCAGCATGCAATAACGGGTTAAAAGGACCATTAGGTCGTAAGGCTAACCTATGCCCATAATATTGAATTGGACTTATTTGTTTTCCTTTTTGCGAAGGCATTTGATAAGTCCATCCTAAATCGCCTTTAGGAAAAAGTAAAGGAAAGACCATAGGATCAGCATGTTGAGATCTTTGGTTTATTATACTCGTTTCTCTTATTTCTTGTTTAGGATATACAGTTAAATCGCATACAGGAACAACACCATCTTTGGAAACAATAATGGCAGCTAATTCAGAAGAAGTAGGTTTATTGTATCTTCTTTTATCATCGAATATAAATCTTTGAAATTGTAAAACAAATTCACTATCATGAATAGTTAAATCTCTGAGCATCCGATATTTCTGTGCATATGGATTGACTTCCCTTAATAATTTTTCAATATGCCTTGTCAACTGAAGATTGTCTAAATTCATGCGTAGTTTAATAGCCTCCTCAACACTGTCATAAATATATATTTGTCCATTCCTTGGAGCATTGGTTGCTGAATTTAGGGATGTTGTCGCATGGTGATATACTTGTCCTTGAATTTTTATCAACGGTGGACCTCTGCTTTCATCTTGAAGAAATTTAGCACTAAAAGTGGCAAACGCAAATGATGAATTGTATACACGGATATTTTGCCTAAATAATTTTGCTTCTTGCTCATCAGAAAGAAGTAAGTTTTTCAAAAATAAAGGATATTCATGCAGCGGAGGTATATGTATGTTATCATTATGGCAGCAAGAATTAACAGAGCGCCCTTTTGCAGAAGCAAATCTCAAAGCTCCACAATAACTGCATTTTGAAAACATTTTGCCAAGACTATGTTTTGCCACTTTGATAGGTAACAATTTCGATAAATCACCAGCAAACTCATGTTGTTTTGATTTTAAAATAGGTGGATTAGGATTTTGGTCCATATCATTGTCAACATTGCGAAAGCGAATTGGTACAGTGTGCATTCCAACCACATTTTCTGTATTTACAGGTCTGGTTTGATGTGGGCAAATGAAAGTCGATGTTGTTGCGACTGTGTAGCAATTACACACATTCTCTTTTAGCTCAACCTTTGTTAGTTTAACTTTTTTTTTGTTAGTTGAATCATCATTAGGTTGTATAAGCAAAAGAGCATTATTTTCTTCTATACTATGAAGTTTACGTTTTTCCCGCTTTCGATTAGCTTTCGCATTGAGTTGCGACTTTTTAGTAATGTTAGGTCTTTTCTTTTTAGGCATTACTTGTAAATAAACAAATCGAATTAAGATTTAAAACCAGATTAAACTTACGAATTAACGTTTTAGAAAACAAATAATCAGATTAATCAATATATCAATACGAAATAAGTTGAGATGTTGTAAAACTGAAGAATGAAATTCTAACTATTTTGTGATTGGTTGCATCTCTGAAAAAGAAAATTCAGACTTGTAAATCGCTTTTTTAAGCTTGCCGTTTTCAGACATGTGATTGGCTGTTGTGAACGGCGGTTATTCTTCATTATTAACTGCAAAATCGTGCTTTAAAACTAAAATAAATAAAAATTTAAAATTATGTAAAAGATTTGAATGCCCTAAATGTCTTCCCTGAAAGATTCTGAATGAATTGATTCCTTAATCTTAGATTTTCATCACGTAGTTAAAAAGTTTTTCAGGGGACAAAATTAACTGCAAAAACTTTTTTTTAGAATAGAGAGATATTTTTACTAGTATAAGAAATACACTTTAAAAATTAAATATGAATTAAAGGATATGCTGATTGTAAGGCAACAGCTTTATACTTAATATCAGAAAGTTTCCACTGAAATAAAAAAATAGAAAGGGAATCTACCTTGAATATATGGAACTTAGAGGAGTTGCAAGGCTCCGTAAAAAAATCTCCTCGATTTAGAAATTTATAGCCAATAATGTAAATAATGTTATCAATTTCTACAATATTATTAATAAGATCAACAGTTAAATCTTTAAGTACTACACAATTGTTACAATAGTTAATATGTAATGTATAATCTTTATAAGAAACTTTTGAAAACTGAGCACAGGTCATACCTAAAGTAGGTCCATTAGAATGCTTTCCAGACAGTTCGACCTTATCTGTACTTACAGATGTACGTATGTACTTACAGATGTACGTACTTACAGATGTACAGATGTTACAGATTACGTACTCCAGTTAACATTCGAGACTTCAGAATATCTCCTAACAAGCTGCTGTAAGGGCCGGTTAGGTGACCTAATCCAGCTCTTTAATTTGCACATATAGCTTTCAAATGGAAAAGCACTGAACTGATCCAATGTGTCGTATAATTTAACATCATCCGCCAAATGAAGTAAACTATGCACATTTGAAACAAGCATTTCAACACCAAATAACTCTTCAATTTCTCTTACAAATGATGTTAATAAATTCTTAGCATAATCGATTGCTTTAGGAAGAGCATTGTCACTGCACAAAATAATAATTGCTGCATGAAGCTTCAAGAAATGTTTATAATGAGTTGATGAAAGAAAAGATTTTAAAACAAAAGGACCAATGTATAAAAGAAATAATCTGAATTCAGTAGCTTTCCAACGATCTAACTCAGTAAGTGATCTTGGCTTCCTACTGAATTCAACAGGAATGCAATCCCTTAAGGATATCAAGACTTCGGACATAGAATCAACTGAAGTATTAGATAAACGAGCTATCCCTCTTTTCTTGCTCCAATGAAATAGCAAACGACGCATAACCCCCAAGCACACAGAATGCATATAATCTGATGGAAATTGTCTTATCATATCAATTGGAAGTTTACACAGAGGAGAATCAAAAATATTGTGGTGTTTAGGATCCAAAAATTGCCTAAATGAAAAATCTGTTCGCAAAGAATAAACAAGATCAGCAGGAAAAACAACACGACCTTTCCATTCACCTCTCTGTGTGCATTTATCACAACTATGAAAGGCATTATGATATTTTGTGCCTTTCATGAAGGATTTAGCAGGAATATCACAGATAAATGGTCCGGTGAGAACAAGTACATAAGATTGATTTTGGACTAAAAATCCTTTTGAAAGAGAATTCATTTCATCTATCAAAGATGATGGATCATGAACAGATCCTGGTTTTGATGTACCTCAATACACACCTACAATAAAAGGACTCAGATTAATTGACTCATTCAAAATACTTGTTATGGGCCAGAAATGTTTTGATGAACTTCTAAACAACTGAACACCATCAATATTTGTTTTAATGGAAAGTTTAATATTTCCTAAGCTATCATGTTGCTCCGTATTAATGCCATCAAGAATTTTTCTATGAAGCCCCGTCATCAAGCCAAAATGATAATACTCACCATCACCAATTTTTTTCACATCAACATTATTTGCAGGAGTTGATAACAATGTCCGGGCATCACGAGGTAAATCATATTTACCTAATGTTTTTAACAAATCTCCTAAAGCACCAAGTGTCACA